TAAGCTTGAGATAGACTTCTCCTCTTGTTCGTAATGCAATTGCATTCTCTGATTTAATGTTCAAGGACTTGTTAAGATCAGTTAATGCATTATCATACTGCTTAAGCTTGAGATAAACTTCTCCTCTTGCTCTTAATGCAACTGCATCCTCTGGTTCAATGTCTAAGGACCAGTTAAGTTCATTTAATATTAATGCATTATCATACTTATACTGCTTAGTTGCATTCTTTAGTCCAATGCCTAAGGACTGATTAAGATCAATTAATGCATTATCATACTGCTTAAGCTTGAGATGGACTTTTCCTCTTGTTCTTAAAGCAATTGCATCTTCTGGTTCAATGTCTAATAACTGGTTAAGTTCATTTAGTGCATTATCATACTGCTTAAGTTTGAAATAGACTTCTCCTCTTGTTCTTAAAGCAACTGTGTCTCCTGGCTCAATGGCTAAGGACTTGTTCAGATCATTTAATGCAAGATTATACTGCTTGAGCTTGAGATGGACTTCCCCTCTTGTTCTTAATGTGATTATATCTTCTGATTCAATGTCTGATGATTTATTGAGATAGCTTAGTGCAGAATCATACTGATTAAGCATGCAGTAAGTGTCTGCTAGTAATCTCAATGTCAGCATATTACTTGGTTCACCCTCCAAAGATTTTCTAAAATCTTTCAATGCATTCTCATATTAATATTGACCAAGCATAAAATATTCTGCTCCTCTATATCTTAATTCGAGCACATCATTTGTGTCGATCTTTAATAATTGATTAAGTCTCGTTTGCTGGGACATTGTTTGCTAACAACACTGAGTATGAGGGGGGGAGCTCAAAACGTTAGAATTTGATGTTATACTTTCTTGTGTAACACGTGATGTAAAATTTAGACTTGACCCTACGTAAACATGGTTTAAAATTAAAAATAAAATATTCTTTAGTTTGCTATTAAAAACTTCAACTAGACTATGTAATAGCGAGGTACAGCATCTATTAGGTCATAATAATAAATGAAACAAAAAACGCTGTTTTTATTAATATACTAAATTTTAATAACAATCTCAAAAGCCAGAATGCTATGTGTATGACGAATTGCATTGCAACTACTAAAAATTAAAATGTGTGCTTCTCAGGACAATCTATTTGCGCATATGGATCAGATAGCTTAAATGCGTCGAGTTTCACGCAGCTGGCATCTACACGCGAAATAATCGGAAACCTACTCATATCAACTCCGCATCTGTAATGACATACGCTTGTTACTCCGTGTCTTTAGATCATTACTTCTGATAATGAAATGCATATAAATACCTTCTTGCGTTAAATACTTGAGGCACAAGACACACATCAGCCAGAGTCACTTCATCACCAACACAATAATTCCCGGCCGTGCTTGAAAGTTGCTTTTCAATACCTGTTCATCGGGAAACAAACAAATCATTGAGCATGAATGTGACTCAACAAACGAAAATGCATGTTTACCAATGGCTGACCTTCGAACGCCCAAGTAATCCAATGTTTTGCCCAGTCCTGTGATTTGTCATCTCCAAGTTGCCTAAGAATCCTCAAATTCTGTGCCGGTTGAGTATCTATAGCAATCGCACTCACAAGGGATCTTACCTATTAAACCAAAATCGTATCAATGAATCTGAACCCTTTTCATCTAGGTATACAATGTACTTTCATTCACCTTTGCTCTTATCAACGGATCACTGGGTAGCAGGGGCTTTTCTGTGCGAGTTTCCTCTAAATACTCAAGAATGGCAAGAGACTGTGTAAGTGTATTGCCATCGATGATAAGTGTAGGAACCTCTTGCATTGGATTAATTGCTATATATTCCGCTGATCTCTTGAGTAAAGTGAAATCGACCTGTCTTTAGTATTTGGTATCTCGTGGGAATGTGCAAATCGTCTTTTCATCACCCACATGTTCATTAAGCAGCAAGTTCACTGGTATCGTTTTATAATCAATATCTTTCCAAAGAAGACTTATTCTTACACGCCATGAACAAGATGATCGCCAATAGGAATAAAGAATTGGCCTTTTATCGGAGTCCATCTTGAGAGATACAATGTATTGTCAGAAAAACAAAGATGTGAATGGAACGCTTATTACGGCATCTGTCATGTGATCCTGTCAGAATTTCTGGTTCGTGTGACATTCAACATTTTTTGACCAAGACTTAAGTGGATAGAACGTAACATAAATCTGTGAATTCGGGAATCTCCGATAATAATAAATATTTCGCATGCAGTTCTGACAAATACAATCGACATATTGTAAGACGGTGGATGTTAAGAAATAACACTATATACAGAATGTAAAGTATAGTTTTGGTGTGTGTGCAGAGTAAGGCAGCCTGTACATAATAAACCCGAAAACTGGAAGAATCTCCACATAGAAAGTTGAGAAATGTCAAGGCAGAAAGTGCAAATTGAAAAAGACTAATTTATCGGCGGTATCGAATATGAGCTGGTTTCAAGAAATTTGTGTTTGCTATCTCGGTTGATAGCCGCTAACTTATGTGATTTGGCTTACAAGGGCGTGCAGAGCTTGCTTATTTGACGTTGTTTCCTGGTTGACTGGAAGATATTAGAACGTTGCGTGTGTGATGTTAGCCCGCCACATATACTGTATATTTCCTAACATACTTACATTTTGCACTGTGGCAAAGATTTAGCTTTAACGAGCAGAAAAACAGTTTTCTTCTCGCTGTTGTGAAGCGTCAATTAATTACCTGCTGGTAAGTGCTAAAGCTAGTTTTAACAATACATGTAAAACCCGGTATAAATTAAGAATTAGATCATCGTGAGTCGTGTAACGCTACTGGAAGATCTGTGTCCGTTGTGATAAGAAAAAAATCAAACGCCTTCAATACTGGTTAAAACCTTTTATACATATAGTTGAAACAGTCAACTCTATGACTTCCGACGAGACTACTTCGCTTATTTATTATTACCTATTTGCTTATGAGCCTTTCACGTGCTTGCCATATCCCATCCCTGACAATTGTTTGTCATGCAACTTACTGTGTGCAGAAAACGCCAATAACGGATCATTTCTACTCTTGGGTCATGTAATTTGTCACACTGAACCCGTACATTCCCATCCAACTCTTTTCTTTTCACCCATTTTAATCATTTCAATGTCTAATCTCCTTCTCGATCTCTCAAACTGCTGGGCGCAATTATTTGAGGATGATGACAATTACGATGTAATTATCTATGCTGGTGATGAATCGACGGACGCAAAAGAATTCAAAGCACATAACTTGGTGCTTCGTGCAAGGTGTTCCTATTTCAGAAGTGCTTTATCGAACGATTGGGCCAGGAAGGAAGGCGGAATGTTCGTCTTCAGAAAGCCAAATATAAGTGGAAGTGTTTTTGCTAAGATTCTTAGGTGAGTCATATGTTGGATCAAATGGAGAACTTGGTAAATGGGAAAAGTTTCTACGTGGAAATGAGGATACTGGAAATCAACATTCGGGAAGCAGGTGTATATTTATCTTTGAGTATGTGTTCATTCCAAGGTTTATGAATGAGGTATAATAATGCCGACACAACAACTTCAGAGTGAAGTCGAATCATTCCAATCTTTAGAATATTAAGCTAAGAGGGAGTCCCCCCGTTTCTTAGTAAATACTTCTATTTCTTTTGTCCCGTCTGCTATAGTTGCCTAAAATATGTAGTCGAATTGACACAAATTTTATTAGCTATTTAGTAACAAAGCCTTTTAACTTGTGTGCCTTCTCAGATACCTATATACAGGCACAATACCACTTGCTGACCAAGAAGGCTCCGAAATCCTGAAAATCGTCGTTGCAGCTGACGAATTAGATCTACATACTCTGATCAATCATATACAAACATATCTTATTACCGAAAAGACTTCGTGGTTAGACGAGAACCCAGTCGAAATTCTCGAGCTGGTCTTTCAGCACGCAGCATGTAAATCTCTCCGAGATTACTGTCTCGCAACAATATGCAAGAAACCTTCTATCATTTTCTCATCACCATCGTTTACATCTTTGGATGAATCGATGTTAATTCTATTGCTCAAACGAAATGACCTGGGTATGGAAGAGGCTGAAATATGGGACCACCTGCTTCAATGGGGAATAGCACAAAATCCGGGGTTGTCTAGTGATATCTCTACATGGGGAGACGAAGAATGGTCATTGCTTGAGGCTACTTTATATCAATATGTTCCACTTGTAAGATTCTTTAATATTCCTTCTGCGGACTTCTCACGTAAAGTTCGTCCTTATAAGCGTATTCTTCCTAAAGGTCTGTTTGAAGATCTAATTTCCCATTACTTAGACCCAGATAAGCCAGTAGAGTCGACGATACTCCCACCGAGGATTCCGTTATTCGAGTCAGTTATTATAGAACCAATTTTTGGTAGTTTGTTAGCTAATTGGATAGATGGAATTGATGACACTGCAGTGCAGTCGAGAAAAATACCTTACGACTTTAAGTTATTATTAAGAGGATCTGTTGACGGGTTCTCGTCGTCAATATTTCATGAGAAGTGTTTAATGCGAGGGCCTACTCTAATTATAGCAAATGTGTCTTCGCAAATAATTGGTGGATATAATCCTCTTGATTGGTCATTGCAACAAGGGTATCAATATGCGACTCAAGCGTTCATATTCTCTCTTGGAGACGGCAAATCGTTTGATAATGTTCGTATCGGTAGGGTGAAGGATGCAGAGAATGCCGTGTGTTGTAGTGAGGGAAACTGGCCCGCGTTCGGAGCCGGACCTGATCTTAGTATTGGTGATAAGATGTGGAGTGCTAAACCTGTTTCATATCCGAGTGGTATATTTGAGTTTGATGATAGTCAAGTAGAAGACTATGAAGTTTTTCAAGTGGTTGGAAGATTTGGGAATGTATCGAGTGCGAGTTCGTTTATTGAATAAAAACGTGTTCGTTTGGACAGAAACAATAGAATGCGTGTGCGGAAAACGACTACGTTAAGCATTCCGTACGATTATCTACGCGGAATGTAATTTTTAAAATAATGGCTCGCACTTGTTGAAATCAAATTTCGCCCAGCCCAGAACCATTTTACCCGCAGAACATTACGTCAAAATTGAAAATACCTTTAGTTGTGATATTATAATCTCTACCTATTTTATTGTGGTCAAGCATTGAACTGTGTTTATTGTCAATATTCGTATGTACCATTTATAAAATAATAGTTATCATCATAATAATAAGTAATTTTTCAACTGTCACATGATTTTGCAAAGAACTGCAATTGGGACTGCCTCGCAACTTGTCTTGATGGCTGACACACCAAAGATCCGTCAATTACGTTCCTATCTTAATTTAAAGGCCAAAGTCGCAGTCTCGGATGGGCGTATATTCTTTGGGACATTTGTATGTATTGACAAATACAAGAATATGATACTAGCGCATACAGACGAATATCGAGATGGTAAGTGGGCCAAAACATAATCGACGTTAAAAAAAAGGATATCAGATCAAAAGGTAACCAAGAAGTCTACTTTAGATGAAAAGAGATTTGTGGGCTTGGTCATGATTCCAGGAAAACATCTTGTCAAGGCGGAGATCGAAGATTTGGATGTATCGGAAGAATATATTTAAACTTTCCCCACGGAAGACTACATTAAATATTTATCTATTCGACAAAAAATCTTCATTATAAGACTAATTATCATTATATACGCGGACAGACACATACCA